CTATGAAAGAAGGAAAGAAAAATGGTTAAAATGCTATAAAATTTTAAATCATACATTGATTAATTTTATAAAATGTGTTGTACTAATGAAATTTAATACATTGTTCTGCTTTCTTTTGGTTTAAAATGAGAAAATTAAAAAAATGTCCAGTGGAAGATATTTAGAAAAACAAATAATGCTAGCAATGATTTTATAATTTATTTAAATATTTCATCAAAAATGAATAAATTTATAATGGATGGGAAAAGATGAATCATAGAAATTAAAAATGAATGAAACTTTGAAGCATTATAAAATGTTAAAAAAATTTATTAGGTTAAAGGTCAGCAAAGATATGGTAAACTTAATTAAAGGAGTAAACGGATAAATGAAAAAGATGATAAATGAAAAAAAAATTTTGTATAACAAATTCTGTTAATGTTTAATTTTAGAATAGATTTTAATTTTGCTTAAAAATAATTGATTAATTACATTACTGTTATATAATTTATTCGTTAACCAAATCTTTTGACCAAAAGAAAACATTACATATACTGTAAAAGATCATTGAACTTTTATTGATAGTTGTAAAAAAAAAAAAGATCGTAAAATGTAGTTGATTTCACTCTTATTTCATGCAAATTTCTTCTTTTCCTACTACTTAAAATGAAAATATTAAATTGAGAAATTTCTGTTTTTTTTCTTTTTTTAGTAAAGTTAAATATTTATATTTAGTACTTTAAGAAGTGGAATCTTTTAATATTAGTTGTACTTAAATTATTGCCAATTTTAATGAAAAAATTAAAATTAAATTTTTTTATTTAATAAAAAATTTATCTTACAAATAAGAATGTAAATAATATTTGTTTTTTCCTTTTTATTTCTTTGTACTTTTTGATTCTAAAATATTATGTTAGCAAATGGTTTAATGGATAATAACAAATTTTTTTGTTAACAAATAAAAATTGTATTTTGTAATGATTGTAAAATTTTTGTCATAAATGATGAATTGTTCGTTTTTTTTTTAAATTTAACTTTACATAGAATATGAAAGTAATTTAGAATTAGTTTCTTTTCTTTTTTTTTCTTTAAAATTATTCCAAAATGATTTAAAAAGAAGGGAAGGTCAAATCAGGTTGTATCTTGTCAATCTTGCCAAGATGACATCTACCAATGACAATTTACAAGGTCATATATGTATGTTGTTACCTATACAATTTGTAATTTTATTCATTAGTCGATATGCATCCTTTTCCTCATTGCTCGTTACAAGCTTTTCGTTCTTTCATGCTATGATATATTATCAAAGATATGATCAGTAAGATTGTTCGAAATTTTAAGTTTGTTGTTTGTTTTTTTTTTTTGATTACAGACAAGATAAAGGATAGATACAGTTGACATTGAATTGACAAACACAAATTCAAGTGGACTTCGAAATCGGGACAGCAAATAAATCGTAAAAAGAAAAAAAAAATCCTTTAAAAAAAAACATGAAAAGAAGAAAGAACGAGAGATCAAAATGACAAAAAAGGAAATTAATGATTTAATAGAAAAAAAAGGAATACGAAAATTCCGTTTAAAAAAAAAGGAAAAAATCAAAACGTAATTTTTTGAAAAAATGAATAATTAATTTAGGAGAAAGGAAAAATTTTTTTTTGGAAAAAAACAATAATGGCAAAAAAAGAAACGAAAATTTTAAAAATTCATGAAATGAAAGTTGCTGAAGCGAAATTTTTCAAGCAATATTCGAATAATTAATTTGACATGAAAATTTTCCAATTCCAATATCAATCAGTTGATTGATATGTTAAAGCAAAAATCTGCAAAGCAAATCCTAATATAAGTTTCTCACGCAAATGTTCAATTTATACTTAATTAAAATTCATTTTCTAAAATATATCTATTCGAAACGGAAATATAAAATTTATGCCATACTTTTATTTGCTTACAATAATTAAATGTTTTAATTTAATCATTAAAAATTATCTTATCAATATTTTTCGGCATCTGTCACATTACAATATTTTGCAGTATTAGTTGTTAATTGATTTTTTATATTAAAGGTATTAAAAACAAAAAATGAAATTGGACAAAAATAATGAAAAATTCCGGGAAATTTCAATCTATGAATTCATTTTTAATTCTTTCCATCGATAAACGTTTTTTGATAATGATAATGTGAAATTTTTAATAATAATAATTGATAATGTGAAATGAATTATTAGTAAATGAAACGAAATTGTTTATGAAAAATAAAAATTGAAATTTGTTTAAAATTTTCTCTTCTTTTTCAATTTCTTTTTCTTGGATTTCTTTGGGTTTCGTAATTTTTTGACCATTTCTGTGATTAAAATTTGCTTCCCTATTTTTTTTCTCGAATTCTTTGTCAGATTTGAATCCGAGTAACTTATTTAATTCTGTTATCATATTTATCATACCCTATCACTACTATAGACAAAATATTTCAGCATGAGTGATTATCACCATAGACAATATCTTCTGGATCATTGATTGTTTCCATTGTAATAAGAGCATTTTAATATTAAACATAAATTTTTATGACTATTATTGTTATCAATCTCATATCAATGATTATTATCATTACGTACATTGACATCAAAAGTTACAATGCCAAATTTTGCATATTATTATTATTTGTTTGCTGTAATATTGAGGATAAAAATTTTGATGGCTCATTAAATATGCATTAAATACAAATAATAAAAAAGAAAAAAAAACGAAAAAACTTTACCTCAATTTTGAAATGTATCATAAAAATTATTAATTAATCGTTTCTTTTTTTTTTCAGATTCATCAATGCTCCGATTTGGTAATTCATCAACATCTGATTATTTCAAACTTCTTGATTTAGATGGTAATCATTTACTAATCGGTGCAAGGTAATTAACCTCATTTTGTTTTAACTTTAGTTATTCATTTTTTTTTTTTGATAAAAGAAAAGGAAAAATCGTAACATTTAACTAATTTAACTTCATTGCAATAATTTGTCACAATCACAATCATTTGACATTCTCATTAATCTTTTATTGCTATGATGGAATAATTAAATCTCAAAAAGAAAAACGTTTTTTTTGGTAGTTTTTTAAAGATTTAATTTTATTTTAATGTTATATATAGACATGATAATTTATCAATTCTTGCTTTTTTGAGATTTGTATGCAACAAAAATAAATTTAATACATTTTTTTTCAAATGACAGAAATAAATTTAAAAATTTAATGAATTGTAGGAAAAAATTTTAATTACGTCAATTTGAGTTTTAATTCTTTCCAACTATTTAATTTAATTTTCAAAGTAATTAATAATATTTTGACAGATATCAAGTATTCAATAATATATTATTGATATTACATATTAGTATTTGTATATGTATGTATGTGAGAACAAAATCAGAAATTAGTTCTATAATAATATTATTAATATGTTTTTCATTACAATTTACTCCGTTTCTTTTTACAGTAGTATCTATACAATGCCTTAATATTATTAGCATTAAAAAAAGGAAATTATAATTTTTTGAATTAAAATTAAAAGTACCAAATTATATTCAGTAATTTTATACCATTTTCAATCCTAAACATTCTCTACTTTAATATTCATATACTTATAAACCCATTTACTATCATGATTTTTTAAATTTTAATTAGATGAAATACTTAAATAAATATTGTTGAATACGTATTAAATTGGGTATTTAATCGTAAACATAACGGAAAAATATAGCAAAATATCAAAAGAGAAAAATAGTTTTTACAAGTATGTATGGAATTGGATTTGTTATGAAACTTATATACTTATCACTAATCATAATTCTAAATGTTACTTATGATCACATGTTAATTAAAAAAGTTACTGTACAATTATTTCCAGAAAATTGTTGATTTTTTCCCGATGATAATTTTTGTTAAATGCAAAATAACAATTTTGGTGATGATTTTACTAGTTGGTTCAATTTGAATTTGATTTAAATTTAACAAATTTAATTGAATATTTTTACAGAGATGTTGTATATAATATCAGTGTTGAAACATTCACCGAAGTACATTCAATTAAATGGCCATCAAAGGAAAATATTGTGATGGAATGCTTAATGAAGGGAAAATCAAAGGTGAAAATGTTAACAAAAAATATTTAAATGATAATAATGATAATAATAATATTTCAACAAAGTATGCATTGGAAAGTAGACAAAATTTTTGATCAAAATTTAAAATGTAACTCAATTTCATGACAATTATAATAAAATTTTTTCGTACTGAAAATAATTAAATTTTGATTTGAATAGCTGTTAAAATTAGTAATCAAGTATTACTTCATTGTGATTACAAAAAGATTTTTCAACAAATTGAATTGAAAATTTCCATCATAATTGTGATTGTGATTGTTCATTTTCGAAAAAGAAATAAATGAATTTTCAACGGGAACAATGCGTTATGCAAGATGAAATAAATTTTATTTTTATAACTGAAATTCACTACTCATTTCAAATATTCAAATTAAAACTTTTGAAATACAATTTTTTTTTTTCGCATAATTGTTAAAACACGTCATATAGCAAAGTTTACAAAAAAAAAAAAAAAAACGGAAAAACGGAAGAAATAACCGTTCAGCATGATTAATCATGCATGAAACAAGTGTTCCGACTAATTTTAGTAGTACTTTTTTTTCTTTCTTCCTTTTTTCAATGATCGATTTCTTGTTTTGCTTTTTCGTAAGTTTAGTTCTTCCGAAAAAAAAAAGACGAAAAAATCATGAGAAATGGAAATTTTGCTTTGGAAAAAAAAAACAGAAAACCAAGAATTATGGGATATCTCGGGAATTTTTTATCATCATATACTTATTAGTTTTCTTTTATCCCTTATTTTTAGTTAAAAAGTTGTAAAATGAAAAATATAATTAAAATTCAAAAAATTTTTTTAGTGTTTTTTATTTGTTTAAAATTTAAATTTCACACGAAAATTTCAACACTAATATAATTGAATTCTATAAGTAAATAAATATTTCAGGATGCATGTCATAATTATGTACGTATCCTGGCTAAAGATGATGATCAAAGTATCCTAATTTGTGGTACTAATGCATTTCAACCGATGTGTCGAAAATATGAACGTGAAAAATACGGTGATTATAGGCAAAGTTTAGAATTTTCCGGACTCGGTATTGCACCTTATGATCCAAATCATAATTCAACATTTCTTCGAGATGGTGATCTGTTGTATGCTGGGACAGGTAATAAACTTATATCAATAGTAATGCTCAAATATTTTATTGAAATTTTACAAATTTGAAAAGCAGATAGTATATTTTCCGGTTCACCTAAAACTTCCCGGAAATATACATATTATGTTTGAATTGGTAAAATCCGGAAGAAATTTTGTTACATAAATGGAAAATTTATTCATTCTTTCAATAATTTTTCATAAATTTAAATTTCGCTTACAATTAATTTTTGAAAAAACTATGAATATTTCAATAACATCATAAAATATTTATTTATTTCATTAAATTTAAAAATTAGATAATTTTCATTTATCAAATCCTATCAATTTTAACAAATTAAAACCAGGAGTTAAAAAATGAAAAAAATTTTTAAAATTTTAAAAAAGAATTTTGAATAATTTACCATTGGATAATTTCTGTTATCGATCAATTCTCATCCATTGACTGCATTGTCACATTGGCTATTCGTCCATTTATGGTGTGACCTTCAAAATTTCGCATAAATTTCAAAATGTTAACGAAATGAACTAAATTACTGCCATCATACATTAACTTTCCCCTTTATCCCAAAATGACAACAAAATTCCCATACTTTCGGCATTTTCGTTGTTGGTTAGCCAACAATGAATTAAAAGGAAAAAAAAAAAATTTTCATCTCTTATTTTGAATAAAATAATTAATTATGGGAAATACATTTGAAATGTTTAAAATTTTAAATTAGCAAAGATTTGAATTTGAAAATTTAATTCATTTACTTTTTTCTTTTAGATTTTAATTTATTAATTATTACGAAAAAAAATTTTAATGTTTATTCGTAAGCTTATAATGTTTGCATTTATCGTTAAGTAAATAAAATCATTCATTAAATGTAAATTATTGTAGAATGTTTAAAGAACGAAAGAGTGAAAATAAATTATAATCATTCAAAATTATTCAAAGTAAAGCAATTAAACGATATAATAATTAAACAAATAATTAATTTATCGAAATTTATTTCTTTTGGAAATAATTTTTTCATTTCAGATTTCAACGAAACAAAAAGTTAAATCAAAAATTTAACAAATTTTAGAATTACTTTTGAAATTTCACGATAGTAATAACAATACTTTTTAACTTATTTATATATAATTTCTTGTAGAGTGTGAAAAGAAAAACAACAATTAATTCGTTAAAAAATTAATTTTAATTTATCAAAAAACGGACAATAAATGTTTGTTTTAATAAAATTAGAAGAAAAAAAAATATTTTAAATAAAGATATAAATGAATGGCTGCTTGAATTTTCCCAAATTTTATTGGAAAATTTCAAAATTCTATTAATATCAGTTTTTATAATTTTTATGAATTATTAAAGTTTATTAATTATTGTTGAAAAAGAACAAAAGACAGCAATAATTATTTTAGATAAAATACTGCAAAAATTTTCCTAAGTTTTTATTTTTAATTGTATTAAGATGATGGTTTTTAAAAATATATGATTATATTGAATTATCATTTTTTTTGAAATCAACTTTTGACCCCTCTTCAAGATGTCCATTTTTGCTTGCTATCTAAATTGTCCATTTGTGTAAAGGTCAACAAACGGTGAGCTGAATGGTCACTCTTTCCATTTAATCATTAAAATGAAAGAAGAGGTACACTTCTCATCGGTAATAACAATATTTCTTAGTAGATAGAAAGCATTTGTATTCTTAACTTTACGAGTAAGTTAAATGGAAATAATTGAAAATT